TGAACTCTGGGCCTGGGCGCTGTCCCTCAGCTCTTCAGCTCAAGGCGAGTGCTCTACCACTTGAGCCACAGTGCCACTTCTGGTTTTCTGGTGAGTTGAAGATAAGAGTCTCAAGGACTTTCCTGCCTGGGCTGGCTTTGAACCGTGATCCTCATATCTCAGCTTCCTGAATAGCTAGGATTACAGGTGTGAGCCACTAGCGCCTGGCCCCTAATTTTTTTTTTTCCTTTCTTTCTCAAGGCTAGCACTCTGCCACTTGAGCCACACCTCCACTTAAGGCTTTTTGGGGTTTAAAACATTTCTTTTGTTATTATTAGGTATACAGAGGGGTTACCATTTCTTAGGTCAGGAAATAAATACATTTTGGGGGGGGACAATGTCATCCCTTCCTTCACTTTCCCCATTTCCCCCTCCTGTCCGTGCCCACAAGTTATATTAGTTCATTTTCCACATAGTGTGCACTGAACAGCATGAACAGCACTGGGCATTGTTTTAAGAAGAAAGATGAAAAGGAGGTTAAAGAAAAGAAATTTCATGCCATTGGTTTGCTTCAGCATTCTGTCTAAAACATAATATTTTTTAATACAAAGGTACATTTTTTAAATGAATAATAACCTGTTTTAAGTATTCTTTTAGTAGAGTTTTATATCTTGTTAATTTGAATAAGTTTTATTTGTTGTGTGAATGGCTTTTACTGTATAAAGTTGTTGGTTGTGGGGCCTGAACTCTGGGCCTGGGTGCTCTCCCTGAGCTCTTCAGCTCAAGGCGAGAGCTCCAACACTTGAGCCACAGCACCACTTCTGTCTTTTTCTGCTTATGTGGTCTGAGGAATTGAACCTCATACATGCAAAGCAAGCACTCTACCACTGAGCCACCTTCCCAGTACTACTATATAAAGTTGTGATAGTAGGGCTTCCTTGCTGCTTTGAATTGATACTGTTCAATAATTTTGAAAGTGGACATTTATAAAGGTGAGGGGTGGGCAGACTCAAGGAACAAAAGTTTACCAGTAAAATACCATGGTTTCTTAACACTTAGAAGTTGATTTTTGGTGTGTGGTGTGTTTGGCCAGGACATCCTGGACATTATAGAGTTTGACTGGCATCCGTGGTCACCATCCACCAATGCTTGACAACCCAGAAGTCATATAGACAGTGCAGCATTGTCAAACTTTACACCATGGCAAGAAAAAGTCATAGATACAGTGTGTGTGTGTGTGTGTGTGTGTGTGTGTGTGTGTGTGTGTGTGTGTGTGTGTGTGTGTGTGTGTGTGTGTGTGTGTGTGTGTGTGTGTATCTATCTCCTTTTTTAAAGTCATAGATACAGTGTGTGTGTGTGTGTGTGTATCTATCTCCTTTTTTCTGAACTGTTTATTACCAGAGTTTTAGAGAGTTACTGGTTTTTTTTAACTTGGAATATTTGCATAAAACTTACTCATTGAAATTCTGAGCATTATGTTAATACTGAATAAGCTTCAGACTTCAGAGCTTTTCAGATACAGAAATGTTTACCTTGTGCTATACTTAGAAAGTAAGAATAGGCCAAGAAAACTTTGACTTGGGAAATCTTTGGCATTCTTTGGTTTCATTGACAGTATGATTGTATAATTCATTGATGGCAAGAGAAGTGGACAAGTCTGTATTGATGGACAATTTATAATTCATACTCGCTTATCATAAAATAACTTTTCTATTCTACTCCATGTGTGAAAAATGGTGCATTGTAAATTGTATTTCACTTGTTTTATTTTGTTAACTCGCTTCAACAGGAGACATTGGTAGAAAAGGAGAGCCAACATTGCAGCATGTAGAGTCACTTATAACTGGAAATTTGGCCATTGTGTTTGTGTGTATGGGATAGAGGGTGTGATTAATTTCTTTCTTTTTTTTCTTTTTTTTTTTTTTCCAAAGGGACACAAGAGATGGTTTTAGAAGAAAAAGTTTCTACTCTTCCCATTATTCAAGGGACCGTTCTCCCCATAAAAGGGAGCCTCCATTTTTCAGAGAGTCACCTGGAGGTCGAAAGGACTCTCCACACAGCAGATCTGGCTCCAGTGTCAGCAGCAGGGGCTACTCTCCAGAACGGAGCAAACCATATTCATTCCACCAGTCTCAGCATAGAAGTACGTATATTTAACACGTAGCGGCCTTCACCAGTGAAAGTACGTTGAGTCACATTGCCTCGCTGTGTTCTAAGACATACATTCCTCCCTTTAGTTTCAGTGTTTTGTTTTGTTTTGAAAAATTTCAAACTTAACAGGAAAATGTATACCATACACACAGATTTTTTTCCCCCAAATATGTGAAGTTCAAGTCTTTGTGACATTTTGTTTAAATTGTCAGCATGTAAAAGATCTTGATGATGAAGTTTGAAAGTTACGTTCTCCTATGGTTTCTGGTAGTTCTTACGCCTCTCTCACCTTTTCAACCTTTTGTCAGTAGGTAATAACTATATATCTGATGGTCTGATTTTCATTCAGGTTATCATCAGTCATCTCTAAATAACATGGTACAGCATTATTGAATTTGGCATTAAAACCTACCCATAGATCATTCTTTTCCGTCCCACAGTTCTGGTGTAGGGTGGAGTGAGGAGCATCTACTAATATAGAGCATTCTATGCAAATGTACCATGTCACCCTAACTTGCTTTCTATGTTTTAGAATAAATAATTAAGGCATATGTTTTCTAGATACAAGAAATCGTATCTTTCTAGACTATACTGTTTGCTGTTGAACTCGTTCACAAAACAATTCCTCTTGTTTTCAAGATGCAAAGAACTTTATTAAATACTAACATGTCTCTGTCTAAGGAACGTGTGTATGTATGTGTTTATGTGTGTTTATTTTCTACTAGCACTGTTTTTGAAAATTAGTGTTACTTTATGTAAGATAAAACTTGGATCATGAAATGATGTGTAATAAATAAATTAGCGTGACATGATCATGTAAAGATGAGAGGTTAATTCTCACCCTAGAGATGGAAAAACATGGGAGAGATGACATCTCTTTTTACCAATTTCTACACTGCAGAAGTGTATTCAGAGTAGGAAGAATTATAAGCCAAAATATTAAAATCAGAAAAGTAGTGTGGTTCATGTCCAGTGGTTTTCAATTCAAAGTTCTAATTCAATAGCCCTTTCCTACTACACAGTGACTATTCCTTCATTCTTAAGTCTAGTACACATTTATCAGTTTTTAATTTGCAGAGCTAGGTACTCAAGGCTAGGTATTCAACTCTAGTGGATATTCTTTTTCTTTTCTTTTTCTTTTTTTGTTTTTAGTCCTGGGGCTTGAACTCAGGGCCTGGGCACTGTCCCTGAGCTTTTTTTTTTTTTTTTTGCTCAAGGCTACAGCCACAGCCCCACTTTCAGCTTTTTCTGTGTATATGATACTGAGGAATCGAACCCAGGTCTTCATGCATGCTAGGCAAGCAGTCTACCACTAAGCCACATTCCCAGCCCTAAATGTTCTTATATATAGCCATATCCCAAATTAGCCAGATACCTGAAGAACTTTCCCCCAGATATGAATGAATTAAATCCAAATTCATTATTGATTGGATTCAGAGATAGAATATCTGTAGAAGATGATACTGAAGCCTTTTTAACTTTTTGGTTTTTTGGGATTTGTTTTTTGAGACAGTCTTTGGTATGCATTCCAAGGTAACTGCACAGTGTTGGGAGGATTCCAGTGGAACCAAGAGTCTTGGAGAGGAATAATACTAGGGATGTATTATATGTTATTTGGAGGCACTGAAATAGAATTTAGTACTTTCTTTAAAAATCTTGGACTCTTAAGTAGTGATCCAAACCATTAATGAGCTGTTGACTTTTGTGTCTACCTCTTAGGAATGGATCTTAGTGGAAGCAGAGGCAGTATGTAGATCTTCAAACCCTGTACCTGTATCTTTTCCCTGTATTTATGGGTATCTTTAACACAGAATATTCTTGTTTCCATACATTTTCTGTTTCATACTTTGAATAAACCAGTAATCTCTGGGAAATCGTGTTCTTGCTGATCCAAAGGGACAGTTCCCAATATTTTTGTCTATGATTCAGAAAAACGTAGCACTGTACTAAAAGTCTGGTATTTTCAGTGCATAGTTTCCAATTTCATCTTGAATGATAATTGTTCTTTTATCTTCTGCAGTATCTTTTGTTGCTTTGTGAGTTCTCAGTAATGTAAAGTAGCTAATGGAATTGGTTGTCTCTGGTTGTTTGTCTTTGTTTTTAGCGGGGAAGATACACTTCAGGAAGAAAGCATATCTTTGAAAGATCATGTCAGTAAAATTCTTTCCAAATTTCTTGATGTTTATTAGAACACTAAACTGTTTCTATAATTTTTAAATTTTACCTCAATAGGAAAAATTTCTTAAAGCTAATATGTAGAGCCAGTATAGATGCTCCTTGACTTACAAAA